ACATCAGGAAAAGAAAATGGGGCTGGATCGGACACACACTGCGAAAACCAGTTGACAACGTTACAAGGCAGGCCTTGGAATGGAACCCACAAGGGAAAAGAAAAGCTGGGAGGCCAAAACAGACGTGGAGGAGATCGGTCGGGAGTGAAGCGAAGGTCGCCGGAATGGCGTGGACCCAGCTCTGGAGAGCAGCCCAGAACAAGGTCCGTTGGCGAGGTGTTGTTGCGGTCCTATGCTCCACTTGGAGTCTACAGGATTAAGTCAAATAAGTCAGACGTTCAAGAAGAAGGATAATTCTCTAGTGAAACACGTTTGTTTTTCATATTTATCATAATTAACAACAGATCTGCGTGATTTGTATAACTTTTGATGTACTCTCTATTCTCAAGTAACGTTTTGCTTGTTTTCTCTCAGTTTATTCTTGTATTCGAACACCATTTTATAAGCCATCTGAATCTCAAGCTTCAGAAGATGCAGAACGATATTTGTGTATAGAAACACTAGTGTGTTCTTTCTCTTTTTTAGAATACTGCCTGATGTCTGGGACTTTTGACGTTCATGTCACACTACCGATCACTAGATGCATTTTAGGAGACCTTATCGAACGATTCTATACCAAATTAACAATTTTTAGTGTTCTCTCTCTTGTGTTTTCCATTTTCTGTATTATCGATAAGGTTTCTACTGTTTCACTTTTCTTTTGGTGTGTTTTATCTAACTGTCTTACGATTTACGTGTTTTCTCAGGATAATTCTTTTTTCTTCTCCATGGTTTAATATTTCTGCCTTTTGAGAGTTATTCACCCCTAGATTTCTTCTAGTGTGTTTTTCATCGTTTTTCTATGTAAGTATGAATTTAGGTTTTCGCAGTGAGTTCTGATTTTTTCTCGTAGAGTTTTGTCTTATAATTATCTGTAGTTCAATGTGTTTTTTTTTGGCCCGGCATGGCCAGGTGGATAAGGCGCTCGACTCGCAATCTGAGGGTCGTGGGTTCGAATCCCCGTCCCACCAAACATGCTCGCCCTTTCAGCCGTGGGGGCGTTATAATGTGACGGTCAAGCCCACTAT